ACGAGCCGCCTCGGGAATTCGCGTTGGAAGCCACCACCGGCGAGATTCGAACTACGGTCGTGCTTGACCGCGAAGCTCTCCGGAACGACCGCTACGACCTGGTCGTCCTCTCCAGTCAGCCGACATACCCCATCGAAGTGCGCATTCAAGTAGTGGACGTGAACGACAACTCGCCGGAATTCCCGGAACCGTCCATCTCGGTTTCCTTTTCCGAGAGTGCGGCCGCCGGGACTCGCCTGCTGCTGGACGCGGCCACTGACGCCGACATCGGGCCCAACGGCGTCTCCGACGACTACCGCATCGTTGCTGGCAATCGAGACGACAAGTTCCGACTGGTCGTCACCGAGAACCCTAGCGGCGAGATCACCTACTTGCATCTGGAAACGACTGGCAAACTCGACCGCGAAACGTGCGCCTTTTACCAGCTGAACGTGTCGGCCCGGGACGGAGGCAGCCCTCCGCGCTACGGCTATCTCCAGGTCAACGTCACTATCCTGGACGTGAACGACAACCCGCCCATATTCGATCACAGCGACTACACGGTGTCATTGAACGAGAGCGTACCGCCCGGCACGCCCGTACTGCAGGTTATGGCGACGGACAGCGACGTCGGAGACAACGCCAAGATTACCTATTATCTAGCCGACAACCAACGCCAGTTCGCTGTCGACCCTGAGACGGGTGACATTTCTACCACCGAGCCGCTGGATTGCCCGCAACAGAACTGCCCGCAGCCCCTGCAAGCTAGACCAGGTGGCGGCTGCCCTAAAAGTTGCGTCTTCACTGTCTTCGCTAGGGATCACGGTTCTCCGCGGCAAGATGGCCGCACTTACGTCACCGTCAATCTCGTGGACGCCAACGACCACGACCCCGTCATCAAGTTCCGGTATTTCCCTTCGACAGCTGGGTTCGCAACCGTGGACGAGAACGCCGTCAACGGCTCCGTAGTGGCGGCCGTTTCCGTCGTCGACCTGGACGAGGGCCCAAACGGGGACACGACAGTCGAAATCCGTGCGGGAAATGAATTGGGACACTTTCGACTCGACTACACGCCCAGCTTCGATATCGTCCGCGTCCACGGCGTGCTCGACCGGGAAGAGATCAATCGCTACAATCTCACGATCGTAGCGACGGACGAAGGCACGCCCCCGCGCACCGCCACCGCCTTTCTCATCATCCACGTGAACGACGTCAACGACCACGAGCCCGTCTTCGAGAAGAGCGAGTACTCCGCCGTTCTCTCCGAACTGGCGCCCCCGGGGACCTACGTGGCGGGCATCAAAGCAACGGACGAAGACACGGGAGTCAACGCGCAGATTTATTACGCGTTCGTGTCGGGCAACGAACACCAGTGGTTCGAGATCGATGCCAACTCCGGTCTCATCACCACACGAGCGGCCCTGGATCGAGAAGTGCAAGACACGGTCGAGCTGAGGATTTCCGCCCGCGACGGAGGCCCCAATCCCAAGTGGGCGTACACGCAGCTGAAAGTGACGGTGCTAGACGAAAACGACGAGCGGCCCAGGTTTTCGCAAGAACGGATAAACGTGAGCCTCCCCGAAAGCACGCCGCCCAACACGCTGGTGGCGATGTTGACGGCCGCCGACCACGACCAAGGCACCAACGGCAGCGTCACCTACGCGTTGCAGTCGCACCCGGACGCCTTCGCGTTGGACGCGCTGACGGGGCAGCTGACGACGCGCGCCCGCCTCGACCGAGAAGCCGTCGCGGCCTACGAGATCCGCGTGCTGGCTCGCGACCAAGGCGTTCCGCCCCAGTCGGCCACGGCCACCGTCTTCCTGACGGTCCAAGACGTAAACGACAACGCGCCCGAATTCTACCCGCAGTTGTACGTGAGCACGGTTGCAGATTCCTTACCGGCGGGCACGTCCTTGCTGCGCGTGACCGCCCGAGACGCCGACGAAGGGGACAACGCGGCCCTTCGCTACGCGCTGGAGAGCGGGGCAGACGACCTGTTCCACGTCGACCAGCGCACCGGCGTCGTCTCCCTGCGCGGCCGCCTTGCCGCCTCCACCAAGTCCCTGTACAAACTGCGCATCTCCGCTCGCGACCGAGGAGATCGGAAAGCCCCTCAGGACGCGGAAGTTGAATTGATCAAAGAATCCCAGGCTCAGGAGCTGGAGTTCGAATCGTTCGGCGGCTACGAGTTCCAAGTCACGGAAGATCACGACTCGTCGGCCCCGTCGCTCGGGCGTGAAGTGGGTCGCGTGCGCGTGCGCACGGCCGCTTCGGCGCCGGCGGGAGCCGAGCCCGTGCGCTACTCGCTCGTGTACGGCGATCCGCAGCACAGCTTCCGCCTGGACGAGCGGACGGGCGTGTTATCTACAGCGGCGCGGGTCGACCGCGAACAAACGGCTCTGTACAGCCTGACCGTGGTGGCGCGGGTCGGCCTGGCCTACGGGCGCGCAGTGGCCAACATCTCGGTGCTGGACGAGAACGACAACGCGCCCGCCTTCGCCAGGGACCGCGACGAAGTGGAGCTGCCTGAAAACGCCGCCGTCGGTCAAGAGGTGTACCTGGCGCGCGCGCGTGACCGGGACGCCGGCGTCAACAGCCGAGTCACCTACAGCCTCTCCTACAACCCCGACGAACAGTTCCGCATAGCAGAAGCGACGGGAGTCATCTACCTCAATCGCCCCGTCCGCGCAGAGCCAGGCACCGCGCTCAGCGTCGAAGTGACGGCCACCGACTCCGGCACCCCGCCGCTGTCGGCTCGCCACGTCGTGCTGGTGACGGTGGCTGACGTCAACGATCACACGCCTGTCTTCGACCACACCTCCTACGAAACGTCGCTTCTGGAGTCGACGTCTGTCAACTCGCGCTTTTTCGCCCTCGCCGCTTCGGACACCGACATGGGAGCCAACGGCCTGGTACAGTACGCCATCACTGAAGGAGACGCGGACGGGAAGTTCGGGGTGTTCCCCGACGGCTTTCTGTACGTCCGCAGCGCGCTGGACCGCGAGGACCGCGACTACTACTCTTTGGTGGTGACGGCAAGGGACCACGGGGACCCCGCGCGCTCGTCCGTCGTGCCGGTCGTCATCCACGTCATCGACGAGAACGACAACGCGCCGGAGTTCACCAACGCCACGTTCTCTTTCTACATCAACGAGAACGAGCCGCCGGATTCGTTCGTGGGCAAGCTGACGGCGACGGATCGCGACATCGGTCGAAACGCCGAGCTTTCTTTCTCCCTCGCCAGCTCCCAAAAGGATTTCGCCATCGATCCCAAGAACGGCTTCATCAAGACCCTGCACGTGTTCGACAGGGAAGCTTTGGTGCACAGTACGGGTCAAAGTTACGTCGTGCTGGAAGCCACCGTCACCGACAACGGGGCGACCAGGTTGCGAGATAAAGTGAAGGTGTACGTGTACGTGACAGACGTGAACGATAACCCGCCTAAATTCCTGCGGACTCCGTATCGGGTACAGATTTCAGAAGGAGCAACAGTCGGGACTCAGATCTTCCGAGTGTTCACCACAGACGCTGACGAAGGGTTGAACGGGGATGTTTTCTATTCTTTGGTTGGAGGCAACGAAGCAGGTCGCTTCGCCGTCGACGAGGCGACGGGCCAGCTGACGGTGGCGCGGCCGCTGGACCGCGAGACGGCAGCCCACTACGAGCTGACGGTGGCCGCCCAAGATGCCGGGCAGTCCCGCCGTCTCAGTGCCACCGCCACCATCTCCGTCGCCATCTTGGACGAGAACGACAACGCGCCCGAATTCACCCAGACGGAGTCCAGCATCTCGGTAACGGAGACGACGCCGGTGAACACGCAGCTGGTGCAGTTCCGCGCACGCGACGCGGATCTCGGCGTAAACAGCGAAGTGACGTTCTCCATCGCCGCCGGCAACCGACGCGACACCTTCCACGTGGACCCGGTGTCCGGCGCCCTGTTCTTGCACAAGTCGCTGGATTACGAGGAGCTCAATTCGTACACCCTCAACATCACGGCGTCGGACGGCGGCAATCCTCGCCTCGCCACCACCGTGCTCTTCACGGTGCACGTGGAGGACAGCAACGACAACCCGCCCGCCTTCCCCAACACCGCCATCGTGCGCCAGATCCGCGAGGGCATCCCGGTGAACACGCCCATCGTGACGGTGACGGCGGAAGACCCGGACTCCGGCGCCAACGCGCGCGTCACCTACGCCATCACGCGCCAGGAGCCCGAGGACGGCCACTTCGGCATCAACCCGCACACCGGCGTCATCCACACGCTGCTGCCCATCGACCGCGAGGCCGTCGACACCTTCCGGCTGATGGTGGCTGCCACGGACCAGGCGCAGCCCGAGGCGGCGCGCCTCTCCGCCGAGAAGC